TTGCTTAAGCTTTAAATATGTTCTCAACTCAATTTTTTATCATTACAATAATTTTTTAAAAGCATATGTGATGCCCCATGGACTGTGATGCCTGGGGCAAACTACTTCAATTGCCCCTCCCTCTTGGAGACCCTGTATATATATATATATATATATATATATATATATATATATATATATATATATATATATATATATATATATATATATATATATATATATATATATATATATATATTTATATATATATATATATATATATATATATATATATATATATATATATATATATAAATATATATATATATATATATATATATATATATATATATATATATATATATATATATATATATATATATATATATATATATATATATATATATATATATGTATATATATATAAATATATATATATATATTTTATTCATTAATGTTTTTATAAAAAATCATAAGCAGAGAATTGTTACTTTATTTAAATGTGTTTCAATAATATAAAAGGGTATGTAAAGATCAAAGTTATTTAATTCAAACTTTCAGACCTTCGCTTGGTAAAGTTGTCGCTTATAAAATTTCAATTTTAACTTTTACTTTTTTTATTTTTACTTATATAATTATATATTTTTTTATTTAACTTATATAATTAATTAATATTAATAAAAAATTGTACAACTTTAAATAATACTTTAATTAAAATCATTAGCTACTTTATTTAAAAGAGTTTTGCTAATAAAAAAACGTTAGTAAAGATAAAGGTGTCAAAGTTATTTATTTTCAGCGTAATTAAAAACCAATTTTTTTTAGCGCATTTGTTAAAAACCATGGTTAAGTCATCAAAACAAAATTATATTTGCGTGGTCATTTAAAGACTTGAAATCGCAGGCCTTCCTGGCCAAGCCTATATATATATATATATATATATATATATATATATATATATATATATATATATATATATATATATATATATATATATATATATATATATATATATATATATATATATGTATATATATATATATATATATAGATATATATATATATATATATATATATATATATATATATATATATATATATATATATATATATATATATATATATATATATATGTATATGTATATGTATATGTGTATATATGTATATATATATATATATATATATATATATATATATATATATATATATATATATATATATATATATATATATATATATATATACACACATATATATATATATCCTTATAGAAAGAGACTTTTAATGTAAAAAAAGTCTCTTTCGACTACAATTTTGCTACCTCAACAATTAAGCTACATTTTATTGTCGTCAAAATGTCAAAGCAATTAAATTAATGCGAAAGTACATTAAATTTTATTGTTTTTTAAAAAAACCGCAATAACAATGACTAGAAAGTTTTTTTTTAATTATAGGTGTTTTTATTGTTGTTTTATTAAAATATATTTTTTAAACATATGCGGAGTGTTGCTACATTGACTATCTTATAGCCTGCTGCTACAAGGGAGTGTTCTTACATCAACTATCTTATAGCCTGACTGGCAACAAAGTGTTACTACATTGACTATCTTATAGCCTGACTCCCAACAGAGTGCTGTTACATCGACTGACAAATAACCTGATTCGCAAGGAAGTGCTGCTACATCAACTGAGGGTTAGGTTTTTTTGGGCAGGCAAGACTGGGCAGGCAGTCTTGCCTGCCCAAACCTAACCCTCACTAAACCTAAACACTGTAGTTTTAAAGCACTTTTTAAAACTACAGTTTATGAAAAAACTCTCTGACTATCATGCAAGAATGTATATATATATATATATATATATATATATATATATATATATATATATATATATATATATATATATATATATATATATATATATATATATATATATATACATACATAAAAATATATATATATATTTATGTATATATATATATATATATATATATATATATATATATATATATATATATATATATATATATATATATATATATACATAAAACCTATTTCATAAATTTGATTCTTGTTTCATTTAAATCTAATATTTTGTTTTTATTTGTTATAATTTTATTTATTGACAGCTTTAACTTATTTTTTTGTTTTATATTTTTACATTTAACTTAAAACTGAAATATTTAATGTATTAGGCATCCTATACTTTTTAACTATTTAAAAGTTAAGAAACATTAAAAATGAGATTATTCCCAGAGGCAGGTAACATTTTGATGAAAAAAGAGCTTGTTTGTTATTAAAAACTGGATTGCAACTTTTTTTGCACCACAATATTCCTAAACTTTTAGAAATCGTTACATAAGTGATTACTGCAAATAAAATTAGGCAAAGCTACAGTTAAGGGGCTGAAATAATTTTATTTTTTTGCTAGTTGCGCCTACTTGTGTAGACTTGCTCAAAGTGGTGACTTTAATGTAAACATAAAGAATTTATATTACTTTAGCACATACATCGATTATCTTATAGCCTGCTGCAAAAAGGGAGTGCTGCTACATTGAATATCTTATAGCCTGGTGCTACAAAGAAGTGCTGCTTGTGTTTGGCATGGGGCAGCAATCTTTTTTCTTTTATTATTTCAATTAAAATTCCTAATGTTTACAAAACCTTTTTTGAGGAGAGCGATAAAACTGTAGTTTTATCTAAAATTACATTGTATTTGTTAAGAATTTTTTACCAAGGTATATCTATAGTTCCTTATTGCCCTGTAGTACAATGATTTTTTGATTTAATTTACACAGTTTGTGTCACAATCTTAAAAAAAAACCAGTAAAAAATAAATTCCGGCATTCTGGCCTAAAGTATTGTAATTCCAGCCAAAACCAGGTTAACCTAAAAATCACCAATTCCGGCTGGAATTCCAGCTGAGACGGAATTTTTGTTCATCCCTATTATATAGTTAAAAAGTATATATTTTACAACAAATGTAAATGCTGTTAAAACAATTTGTACAATTAATTTTATAAAGAACAACATTTTAAACAATTATCTTTACAAACAACAACTTTCAGATAAAAACATAAATTTAATAGTCAAAAACATTACAGTTATTTTTTTATAATGCTTTTTAAACTTTCTAATGAAATATTTTTACGCTATGCTAAATGCTTTTAAAAAAGTTTTATTGCGCTATTAAATAAATTATCAATATAATATTAAGTAAATTTTTTATTTATTTCAAAAGTTCTTTTTTTTATAATGAACATGTTTTAAAACAATTTGTATTATTGATTTTACTAACTACGAGAACAATGTGTTTCAATAAACTTGTTTTTTAAATTCTTAAAGTTGATATAGTCAAATACATAACAAAGTTTTTTTTTGTTGTTTTGTAAACTTTCTAACTAAATGTTTTAATACTAGACCTTACATTAAAAAAAAAAAAATACAAATGTTAAAACAAAGAATGAAATGGTTTTTTAATGCATAATTATTTACTTGCTTATTTGCTAATGCTAATGCGTAATTATTTCTTGCCATTTTTTTTGTGATAAAAAATAACTTTGCTATATACTTAAATTCATAAATTTGCTATATACTTAAATTACTACACAAAATTTAATTGCTATATTCTTTAAAATATTATTGTGTGAAGCTATGCTATTATAAAGCAATCCTTTTATAATCAATTAATCATTACCCCTATCATAACAGAAAGCAAAAAATCCTTTTTTTTTTTTTCTGACCTGACGTCGGCTATGGTCGACATGCTTGTGCCAAGCTGAAATCCTTCGAATTTTGCTGACTGGTACTATTACTTGGGATGTATAAGAGCAAGTAGTTGAGATGGATAAGATGCTATGTGATAAAAGTATAAATGTGGAGGGCAAATAGAGCAACAAGTGAAGGTTTAGATTATTCAGCGGCTGATAGCAAGATCCAGGGTGTTGTAGTTCCCCTATATTGAAGCATTCAAGAATGGTTAATACCTCTTAAACTCTTTAAAAGATGTTGTTCTTGAGTGTGAACCTAAAAGATCAAGAAGTTTGTGTAGGCGTTTTGCATTGAAATGACCATAGAAAGTTCTAGAAGCTTTAACTTTGTTGTGTTTTTTTCTTTTATGAAATTTGAATAGTTTTCTAATAGTTTTTAATTAGTAATTATTTTTAATATGTTTAAGTGGTATAATTGACGGAATGCAGTGTCTAGTAATGTTGTTTGTTTATTTGTTTTTGCTAATTTTTTTAAAACTAATTTGCTCTCAACAAGAGTGCAAGCTATTAGTATTTAAGTTAGGAATTACCAGAAAATAAACAGTATTATTAAAAAGCAAGAAAACTTAAAAAGCAGAAGGCTTAAATTGTAAATTTATTAGTCAAGAAAACATTAAGACGGGATCGAGTTCCAAAGCTTTGATATGAGAGAGAAAAAAATTAAGCAAATAAAAGTTTTTAAAGCATGAAGGGACAGATGCACTTAAAGGAAGCAATTTTATTGAATGACTAGTCAAGAGTGAGTTTTAGTTGAGCCATCACAGATTATTGGTTAAGCCATCACATTATATACACAGGACTAAAGATGAAACCTTTTGGTACTCCATAAGTTACTGGAAATAAAGTAGAGTGTTGGCTATCGGGGACAACATAAATACTGGTTAGAAAGAAACAATTTTATATTTTCAAAAAATATTGCTAGATACTATTTGATAACATTTTTTGATAAAAAAATGATGTACAACTGGCAAAAGAATTTAAGAAGTAATGATGAGTGTGCATAATCCCATTTGTTGATATTGTATTTCAGATTTACTAATGCAAAAAAACACTGCTTTAATTTCTTTATAATAAGTGTTAAGGTATATATTGACAATTTATAGGTACTTTAATTTAGTTCCTGATTAGTTTTGAAATATTAAAATTTTTTTTTGATATAGACTTCTTTTGTGAAAAGATATTACCATCAATTTATTATTTTCAGGTTTTGATTCCAGTATTTATTTTTTTTTGAAGCATTTGTTTTTTCATTTAGGGATTTTGTTGCTATTGTACGCAGGATTTAAAAAACTATTATATTAAAAAAGATATTCAAGATGCTAACAGAGCTGGTATTATTTGCAAACCTTTGACAAATTCCCCTCAAGCATCTGCTCATTGCATGAGAATGAGCAACTTATGGTTTGTGACTTTTAATTTTCTTATAAAGATAATGTTTTGATTGACAGTGAATTGCCTCTCCAATATTATCAATCTAAAAAGTTATAGATCATCATGATGTTTATGAATAAATTTACTATCATTTGAGATTTGAAAAAGTTTACTAAGTCACTATATGTATGTATGTATGTATGTATGTATGTATGTATGTATATATGTATGTATGTATGTATGTATGTATGTATGTATGTATGTATGTATGTATGTATGTATGTATGTATGTATGTATGTATGTATGTATAGCGAGTGACCAGGGCCCCGGCTAAAAATGACACTTTTTTCAAACCCGGCCCTGGCTCTGGCTAAACTATAAGATTTAGCAGGGCTAGAAAAAAAATTTATGATTATAATATAAAATTATAACTTTTTATATTTTAATTTTATGCTTTTTACATTTACTGTTTATTAAATACTGGCATATATTTATACAATTTCAAAATTTAATTTACTTCCAACAAGATTGCAAGCAACCACTATTAAGTTATAAGTTACTTTAAAATAGAGAATAAGTAAGAACACTAGGAAATGGATAACTGAAGACTTGAAAAGTTGTAGGTTGTATATGAAAGAAAAACATGAAGATAGCTAATAGTTTTAAGGTTTTTTTGATGTACAAGGAAAAAAACTGGATTAATAAAAGTTTTTATAGCATGAAGGGACAGATACATTAAAAGAATGCAACTTGTTGAATAAGAAACAAGCTAGAACTAGTTTTAGTTTATCATAAAGATGTTTGAGTATTGACCATGAGAAAAAAGAAAGAAATGCAACCTTACAGCAATGGGAGAGTGGTTCAAGCTTGGCAGATAAAGCAGGTCTAATTTATTATTGTTGTTTTTTTATGTTAATTCACCTCCCCAAGGCTGAAAACGCTACTACAGATAAGTAGGCTACTTAGTTGTGGTTTTAACTCTATCTCAACTATATAACTCAGAAACACGAACCTTGACAACCAACTCCGCTGCGCAGAGAAATAAGTTTAGTGTGGTGCTACAAAGGACATGGTGGGGATCAAACTTGGTACCTCTCGCTTATGACGTGAGCGCTCTTACATGCTTTTAGATTTTGTCTGAGAGTAAGATGGTTATTATTCATCAAAATAGGAATACCAACATTATTGCAATATTTTTTTGCAGTAAATAAATGAGTTTCGTTGTCTAACAAAAATTGCAGATTTTAAGTCCAGAATTTAAATCCATAAGCCACAGCAAACCGATAATAAATAGCTGTAACAGATATAAAATAGCTGTAACAGATATAAAATAGCTGTAACAGATATAAAACCGATATAAAATAGCTGTAACAGAAGTAAGATCAGATTAAAAATCAGCTGCTTGTTTTAAGCAATCAAAAAGTGAAGATTTTTTGTCAAGACAAGAGTATAAATTTGAGTTGTCAACAAATAGAGCCACTTTATATGTTAAATTTTCATGAAGATTGATATTGTAGATAAAGAACAATACAAGAGCAAAGAATTAAGGCTACCACAAGATACCTTGTGGTACCCTTAAACTTACTTGAAATAAAGAAGAGTGTAGGCCTTCAAGAATAACTTCAATACTGCATTTAGTAAGAAATAATTTAATAATCTCAATAACAGAGTGAAGACTAATCGTATGATGTTTGGAGAGGTCAAAGTGTTTTCTAGAGTTTTGAAAAATCAGAACCACTTATTTAGCACTTTTTAAAAATTAAATATTATTAAACATTATATAATTAATAAGATTAAATGCTAGACTTACTTTAGTTAATGACATTGTTGAAGACTAACTAAAAGTCTCTAGAACCTAACATCTGATATAAGATACAAGATTTATTAAACTGAGAATAACAGAGCCTAACATTAGGTGGGACTGTTTTACATTAGCTTTTTGGAATAATAAAAGGACATTTGTTTTTGAGAGATGTTTTTGTAAAAAAGATGAAATAAATGATCAATAAAGCAACTGCTCAAGATGGTGAAAAATATGGAGTAGAATAAGGTATGACTTAAAAGCTTCCGAGATGCACTTTATGCATACATGTTATGTACATAAACGTTTATGTTTGCAATTTATTTAGATGCTGACATACAATATCCTTTCATATTTATATAAACTTTAGTATTTATTATTACCATCATCATCATCATCATAATCATCATCATCATTATGTTGAAATTTATTCAATAATGGAACTTTGCGCTTTCATTCCAATTTAATGAAAGCGCAAAGTTCATTACCGAGGTTTTGATATTTTTTTGTTATTGTTTTTATAAAAAATGGGGTGATGGTTAAATTGTTATTCTGATACAATTTTAAACATTATTAGGAGTTGATCACCCTTAAAAATTTAATGAACACCATTATCATATAATCCTAAAATATGAATTTATCATGAAATTTTTTTTTATTAAACCAAATGTAAATTGTTACTAATTATACTTGAGTTTAAGCTTACTTGATTTCGTGACAAATCTACAAAAAATCATAATTTTTATTTTGTTAATGGGTAATTATGAAAGTGAGCGATGGACTCTGTTATTTTTGGTTTGAAAGATACCGAAATAATTTTTAATAAAAAGAAGATGCAATTTTAGTTGTATCATGGGTATGTCATAGAAGTTGCATTACCGAATAATGAAGGTTGCAATACCAATCACTTGTAAAAACCTTGATTATTTGTTTATTTTAAGTCAAATTTCAGTAAAAAACCTTAATCCAAAGAATAATCTTCTTTTTTATGAAAAAAATTATATACTGTTTCAAAATTTCAAAAACAAATTTCGAGGTTTAACAAAAAAACTTATTAGTTTTAAACAAAATACACATATTTTATGGTTGTTTACATGAATTACTTTTGATAAGTCGAATAAAACTTTTTGAATTTACTATATTTAATATACCCTTTAAAGAAAGTTTTTCTGGTGGCTGAAACCTTTAGCGTAAGATAATGTGCACATTATATAATCAGTGAACTAGAAACAGTGAGTAGTTTATTTTTACCTATAACAGTGGGTGGAAGGGTGGTATGGTGTTTAAAAACAGATGTTTTTTTTAAGCAATGCTAAAAAGTAAAAATTACGCAATAAATTAAATTCATTAACTAAGTTTAGGTTATATATGCTTAAAAAATCATTCAAAATTGATAAGGTTTATACTGTATTATTCGGAAACATCTCATAATTGCCCCTTTAACTTTATATCATTCAAACTTATTTAAAAAAGTATTGTAGTTTTGATAGAAATATATTTTGATATGTAAATTGTATGGTTACTGTCACAGTCTCTATAAATCGCCTCAAGAAGAGAATGACGTGTCCGGTTAAGCAGAAATTTGATCTCAAGCATCTCACTACGCCATAAGTCTACGTCAAATAAATTTCAAATACCTTTTTCAGCTGAAACAGATAAGGAACTAACTATATATTGAAATTGTAATTAAAGTATATAAAATAAAATAATAATTGTAAAAGATGCTTTCTAAAAATTTAGTCCTATTTAAGTTTTATGATCAATTGTTGAACAAATGTAACCCTTATTCTATTGTTTTAGGGATCATTCATAATTACGCAATGCTAAATTTATTTAAAAATCAGGAGGAGAAATTTAGCTTTTTTACCTGGATATTTTTATTTAACTTGATGAGCTATTTAATTAACTTAAGGCTCTACGAAGGAAAACTTTGATCTTTTTTGTTAGTGAAATTTAGCATTTCGTAATTTATGGACGGTCCCTTAGCTCATTATAATAATAGTGACCTTTAATAATGCCATTTTAGTTACTTACGGGATGTTGATTAAGAATGTTAAATAGGTAAATCTAAAACCTATATATTCTATTATATTAACTGTTTTAATTTTGATTTAAATCATTTTAATATAATTTGATCTATTTTGCTAGTTGTCATAAAAAAAGTAAGTAGACTTTTTTGAACCATCGTAGCACTGCATCATTTTTCAAATTGAAGCTTCATTTTGAAAACATTTTGAAAAAAAAGACAGCATTTTGAAAAAAAAGAATTTAATTGAGTTGAAACACCGCCAGATTCAAATGCACACCCAAACCATCTTATAAAAAAGTTTTCAGACATTTAACCTAGAATTGCGTTAAAATAATATGTTTTTCAAACAAAATTTACTAATTTTGTTTTAGGTATAATATCAGCTATTTAATTACCAAAGTTTTAACATCTATTTTTTTTGAAATAAAATGTTAAACCATGTAAATGTTATAAATTGAATTTTTGAACAACTTTTGTTTATTTTGTTGTTTTAAACATGAATAGTTAAATTATAGTAATAATTATGAAAGTTTATTTTATTTTTTAAATGAAGTTTTCACTTGTGTGACTGGATTCATAAATTAAATTAAATTATTGTGAAGAGCAATTTTTTTTGATATGGCGTTAACCTGTTTTGCTGATCAGGGGGTTTTATGTGACAACTAGAAAGTTTACCATCCTAACCTCATACTGCAATTTTTATAGTTTAGGTGGTTTAGATTTTCAAATCAGAGTTAAGGAGCCTATCCTTCCCCATATGAAACTAGTTTTACAGAATTCTAAGGGGAAAGTCCTTTCCAATATAAAAGTTTTAACTGCAATGATTAAACTTTACAATGAATTTCTTGACTCTGTTATACTGATATGAACCTTTTAGGTCGCCAAGTGTGGAATTTATTATTTTTATTTTTTAGTTAAGATAATGAATTTTTTTGAAGTAAATATTTCTGTATGGGAAATATTTCTGTATGGGAAAGACTAAATACCAATTATCCTGGAAAAAGAGCTATCCATGGATAAAAACTTCAAATAAGTCTGTTAACCATGGCTTCTGTAGATTTTGTTCTGTGGACATAAACATTTCAGCTGGTGTAACCCAGATTAATATACATTTGAAGTCAAAGAAACATAAAAATGCAAAATCAGCTAGGTCACAGTTTAAATTTGTGACCAACTCAGATGGTTTAGCTCTGAAGCTA